CATCCCCATGCTGTGCCAAGCTTCCCAGAGCAGGGAATCTATCCCACAGGGATCCATCCATCGCGCTCAGAGTCCCTTGTCACAGGGGCACGGCAAAGGGGCCGCCATGCATTTCACCAGTAGAAAACCCCTTTTCCCCATCAAAAACTTCCACCTTTCGGTTAAAAGAAGGGAAAACTCAGCCTGCACGGGGGTGGGACCGGGCTCGTCCCCATCAAACTGAGACACAATTCCAGAGCCAGCCCTCGAGAGCATCAACCCATCCGCTGGTTTATGATCCCAGCTCGCTCCGCCTCAGCCCAGGGAATGCCTTTGGAACGAGCCCGTATTTCACTGCCGGGTGGCAGGGGAATGCACCTGGGAGCTGAGGGGGAACGAAGGAGATGCCTTCAGATGGGGTTTGCGTGTAATTGCCTTTGATGGGGGATGCACCTGAGCTGAGCTGAGCTGCGGATGCTGCTGCAGGAGGGAGGGAATGGTGGCGTTGAGGACGGTTGCAGCTCCCCAGCTCCACGGTCAGGTCCATCCATCCCCAAGCCCTGCACGCTCAGAGCAGGGCTGGTTCCCTCTGGAGACAGGGCTATTCCATGAGGATTATTCAGTTTCCTATGGGGTCGGGATGCTCATGCCGATGCTTTCCACGACCCAGAGCATCCCTTTGCCGTGCCGGTTGGACACCAGCCTTTTTGCTTGCCTGATGCCCCATTGGATGCGCACGGGGCCCACGGCAGGCCTTTGGGACCACCATCCCAAAGGATCAGCGTTGGGCCACGTCAGGCTGTGGGGTTGCTTTGTGTCTCCTGCAGACAGGGTGGGCAGGGGTTGCATTACCCAGCACTGGAGGCTTTGATTTATTCCTCTCCAGGCTCCTCTATGGAGCATCCAAGGTCTTGGCTGCTGCACAAGGAAAAGCAGGAGGCAAAGCTTGGGGGGGGGGGGGGGGGTGTGATGGGGAGGAAACCCAGAGCCACCAACAGGGCTCCTGTCCCTGCTCCCCAGCCCCTGGCTCCAGGCTGGCAGCGGCTCCATAGGGAACAGCTCATCCCGGGATAACTCCCGTTCTCCCTATGGAGCAGCTCACAGAGAAGCAGAGATTTGAGGAGCTCAGGTGCTGGGACCTTTCCCAGCGTGTCCCATGCAAATCCCTGTGGCTCCGGGGAAGTGTGCGGATGCAAAGCACGAGGGCTCAGGAGCCCAGCGCTGCCCTTCCGCACATTCCCAGGCGAGCTCCGGGTTATTCCCGCTTTCGGGAAGCCTGCGCTGGCCGTGCCGAGCCGAAGCCGGGGCTGAGCCTGCTTGTCTCCCTTTAGGTCTCACACCTCGATGGGAAGAGCAGCCCCAGCCACCCAGCAGCCCCACACGGACCACAGCATCCTGCGGCGAGCAGGAGAATGGGAGCCTCACATCCCAGCCCGCCAACCCCTTCCAAACCTCAGGGCTGGGAAAGAGGGACCTGATCCCGGAGCCAGGCTCTGGAATGAGCCGTTTGGATGCTGAGCATGAAACTCTTCAGGGGGCGAGTTATCCCTGCCTCGCAGGTAAGAACTGAGTTCTCTCCTCCTGCTTCCCAAGAAGCTGATGCTCCCGGATCAACAGGCTCCATCCTCCCCATATCCCCCTGCAGCTGCCTCCTGCCAGGACCAGGCAGGACAACTCCTCTCAGGATGATGATGATGATGATGATGATGATGATGATGATGATGATGATGATGGTGATGGGAAGGGGTTGGACCCTCCCTCGCCGGCCTGGTCCTCACTGCTCCATAGAGCCCCTCACATGGATGTGAGATGCCACATCCAAGGCTTTGGCCGAGGCTGGAGCGCGGCTCCATGGGTGATGTCCACGTTGATCCTCCTCCGAAGGCCTCCACCATAAGGACACCAGGGTTTGTGGGGCTGCCTGGCATGGAGGGGCTTTGGGGGGAGCTGCTGAACCCCCTCTATGAACCCCAGGGCTCCCAACGCCCTCCGCTTACCCACAGACTGTGGATGGATCTCAGCATCATCCTGGGGGGTGATGGAGGGGCTTTGGGGCTTCCTGACAATCCCAATAATGAAAACCCAGGGGGAATTTTCCCGGGTTCATCCCTAAGGAACTGGTGCCCATCCCTGCGCCCCCCATCAGCGGCTGCTCGGCCCCTTTTATATCCATTGGGCAAAAGAGGATCCGGGCTTTTTGCTTCTTATAGCAGAGAAAGGGGGAAATAAAGTGGAACCTGGAGGGATCCGCATGGGAGAAGCGTTGGGAGCGACTCCAGAGCAGCTTCAGTTACTGCTCAGGCTTTATTACACACCAGAGAATCCACCAGGAAGCGACAGCCAGGCTCAGGCTGCCTTTCCCTCTGCAATTCCCTGTTGCTGGCTGAGCAATGGGAGCGGATTCCCGGCTCCGGGAGCTTCCCAAGGACCTGAATGTGCTCAGGGAAGGGAAAGTCCCATTGCAAAGGGCTTTGGGGTGGCTCCGGCCATGTGTTGGATATGGGAAAGGGGAAACTACCTTTAGACATGGACATTTGCTTCCCCCCCCATCCCCATCAAACGGGCTTTAAAAGCCAAGGGGAAACACCTCTGGAAGTGGAGGCTTTGGCTTCCGACCTGACTTTGTAATAAAAGGCTAAAATCTCCCTTTTTTCCTGCTATTTTAAGGACCATTGTGTTGAGTCCTGGGTTTTTTCCTTAAATTTGCCTTATTCCCAAGTGGGGAAAACATCAGCCCTGAGGTCTTGGCTGCTCTTCTCTATTCACACTCATGATGCTGTTATAGGGGGGAAAAGCTCCTCAGGGCAAGGAGCTGGAGATGCTCTGGCTCTTAACATCTTCATTTGTCGTGGGGACAAAGCCCCAGGAACCCCCATTCCCAAGGGATGGGCACCCCAGTGCGACGTCGGGTGTCCCACAGCATCCTTAGGGGCACAAGGCCAACAAAGCCTCCATCAGCTTGGGAATGAGGGTGACTGGGGGAAGCTGGTCCCCATTTTGGAGGTCCCACATGCTCCATTTACAGTGGGGTGAAGGATGCTCATCTGGGGTGCAGGGGGAAGGCCACAGGGATGCTGCAGAGGATTGTTCCTTGCTGGAGCTGGAGGAGATCCCACCATTGGTTTCATGGTGGGACTCTTCTGCTTGCTGGGAACCTGGTGAGGTCCTAAGCAAGCAGTGGGAGCATCCCCCCCAGCAGCCCCATGGCAGGACCTCCACCCATGGGACCCAGCAGCCTCCCTTGCTCAGTGGATAACCCCCTAGGGGATGTTTAGGGGACATCTGGGGACAAGAAGGTGCCACCCTATGGGGAGGTGGGACCCTTCCAAGCAAGCACATACTCCCATGAACACCCCCCCCCCCCCATGCCACCACTGCGTTGCTTGGTGGGGTTCAAACCCCAAGAGACCAGTTGGGAGATGGGGCTGGTCACATCGCTCCTACTGGGATCCACTGGGAATGAGGTTGGGACCAAGCAGGGAAGGGAAACTGAGGCAGATGGCACCAGAGGAACCGCATCATGGGGACCATGGGGGGGACCAAGAGGATGGAGCAGGGGGAAGGGGCCGCTGGTGACACAAGAGACACCCAAATGCCCCAAGGCAGGTCCTTCCCATCAGCCCACCTTGGGCAGGAGAGCCCAGGCTGGAGGGGCAGCACCTACAGCTGAGGAGACACAGAGAGGTTTTGGGGTGCTTTTAACCCCATGGGCTAAGAGCCTCCCTCCTGCCCAGCAAGCGGGTGCCAGGACCAGGAGCAGGATGAGGATGGAGGCAGCCATGAGGAGGGTACCGGCAGCACCATGGTGATGCTACGATGACTGCTGTGGGTGCCAGCCAGGCCTGAAGGGATTCATTCCCCCCCTGTCCCCCCCAGCCCAGCCCCTGCTCTGGTTCATTCTCCCAAGGTCCTTTTGTTCCTTCTTTCTTTCTCCTCCCTTGTTCCTTACAGCAATCAGCCTGCAACCTCTGCAGCTCTCAGTGGCCCATCCATCCCCTCCCCAAGCCCCACTGCACCCAGCACCCTAAGCAGGGACCTGTCCTTATAGGACAACCCATGGGACACAGGGGAAGACACAGGGAAGGCTCCTGGTGTGAGGAGCCACACGATGATGCCCTGGTCCAGGAGGAGATGGGAAGAAGGCAAATGGAGGTGGACACCTCATTGTGGGGGGGGGAGGGTTACCCTGCCTCTGTCACCCCAAGGTGACTGCCCCATCCCTGGCCAGGTTGGACAGGGCTTGGAGCAAGCTGCTCTAGTGAAAGGGGTCCTTGCCCATGGCAGGGGGTTGGAACTGGATGAGCTTTAAGGTCCCTTCAACCCATCCCATTCCATGATCCCATGGTAACAGGACTCGAGCTGGAGAAGAGGAGCCCAGGGTGGGCTCAGGGGGTGACGGGACTGGGCCGCCCCTGCTTTAGGGACCACAGAGGGATCACTCTACATCGCCACCGATGCTCTCAGGTCAGCAGGATGCTGAGAAGGGCTCGAGCCACCTCGGGAACATCCACACAAAGAGGTGACTGCTCCTGGAATCCCCATGGAAAGACGAGCAGGGAAGGTTCACATTAGCACACGTCAATTGTATATAGTGCAAATCAGAGCCCCAGCACCAGAGGGGTCCCGCTCTGGTTAGTGGTTAGGAGGAGCCAGAGGTGCAATCCTGGGCACTGCAGACACTCCAGCCCTTGCTCTTCCCCAGCCCCAGGGCCTGGGCGCATCGTCCACAGCTTTCCAACCCCTCCTTGCGCCCGTGCCCCACGTCAGCATCCACCTTGTGCCCGCCAGGGGAAGGGCAGCCAGGAAACCTTCATGAGAAGCCACAGAGCCTGTCCCTCCCGAGCTAAACAGGGCTGCTTCTCAAAGGCATCACCACCAGGCCACGGAGGAGCTCCGGGTGCAGTCCCACAGGTGGCTCTGACCACCCGCAGCACGGCCACAGCATCCATCCCAGCACCCACCCCCTGGCCCAAAGTGGGGGGGGGAAGATCCCAGGGGAAGGCCAGAGGGATGGAGGGGGGGTCAGGTCCCAAGGGCTGGGGGCTGTTTGCAGGTCTATGTCTGCAAGGCCGCGCCGGGCACAGGGAGTCAGGGGTTCTCCAGCGGTCCTGAGCACGAGGACGTCTTCCAGGTGGCTGCAGGAGCATCCTCGATGGGGCTCTGCAGCCAAAGGTCCAGGCCATTGGGGGCCAGGACTCGGGGGAGGGGGGGGGGGGGGGCGAGGAGGAGGATGTGGAGGCCGGGAAGCCAGGAGTGAAGGGCGAGCGCTTGGGCTCAGGAGAGTCCAGCCACGTCCTGGAAGCAGGGGAGCAGAGAACGTCACCGCTCATCACTGGTTCATGGGCTCTTCCTCCTCCATGGGCTCGTCCTGGGGCCTGGAATAGGACAGGGGAGATGAGGAGGAGCCTTGTGTGACACAACAGCATCCAGGGGCCGGCTTCTGGAGGTGGCCAACAAGCCTCACTGGTCCATCCACTGAGACCCACAGAGAGGGTCCTGAAAGGAGGTGATGTTCCTCCCCCCACCCCTCCATCCTTCAAGGAGGATTTGGTCTCATTTGCACCTTGTCTGGGGAGACCCCAACGCTGAATGTCCCAGAAGCCAACCCAGGTCCTGCAGGACCTCAACTCCCCACTGATGCTGAACGTTGGGGTCCTGTCTGCTGGCACGGGAGGGCTGCAGGACCAGAGCTCTTGGTGGGGAGGGCAGTTATAATGTCTATGTCCCACAGCCTGCTTAAAGCCAGCGCTGTCCTGACCTCCCAGAAGCTCACGGGGCTGCAGGACAGGGCCCTTCTCTGCTGCCCCCGCTGTGGGAGCACAGCTCGCAACCAGGGCCACCCGCATCTCCCAGGGTCGGTTGAGAGCATCACCTCTTCTCCACCATCACGGCCACTGAGAGGGAAGCCAAGGCTGTGACTGTCTCCACCTCTTCTGCCTCGTGGTGCTGCGCCTCCAGGAAGGAGCAGCCCAGCTTGGAGGCAAAGCGCTGCAGAGCCACCCAGTATTTACCTGCAGGACAAGCGACATCAGGGTTAAGGGGGGGGCTGAGGATGGAGGGCTCCACTGGGGTCTTTTATGCCACGTGTCCCCTTGGAGAAGGGGAGGAAATGGCAACTCCTGGCCCTTGCCCAGAGCCCCAGCCCTGGGACACTCACTCTGGACCTGCAGCACCGCTTCCAAGGAGCGCACAGCGTTGGGGTTGGGTTTCTGCCTCATGCTTTCTTCTGGGAGAGGGTCCAGCTGCCCAAGGAAGACACGAGAGGGTCAGCAGGAAGACACCGTGCCCAGGCCCGGACTCAGGGAACCAGGACAGCCCTCAGCCCCCACCTCGTTGCCCAGCAAGGCTGACACACAGGCCTCGGATGCATCGCAGATGGCTGTGAGGTCATGGCCACCTTCTAGAGCGAGGACGATGGCTCCGCCAGCCAGGCTCATCAGCTGCTTTGTCATGTAGCCAAAACCTGGAGGAGAAGCCCAACAAGGAGGCTTTTAGCCCCAAAATGCTGGTGCCTTGCCCCTTGATGCTGATACAACCCCAAAGCTCTTCCCCAGCACCCCCCCCCCCCCCTGCTGTGGTCCCAGCCTGGGTGGGCAGTGGGAACATCCTGCCCTGAGGCTCTGGTGCTGCTTCCACCTCCTTACATTTAGCAGAGACTTTGTAGCCACCCAGGGGGGGTGGGTGGCCATCGGCTGCGTCGAAGCCAGCAGAGACCAGCACCACATCGGGTGAGAACTCGTGTGCAATCGGCATCACCACGGTCCTGTGGGTAAAGGCAAGCACAGGGGGGTGAAGCGCTGGCTCAGCCTGACACGGGGCGGGAGAGGAGATGAGCAGAGACACAAGGAACTACCTGAAAGCAGCCAGATACTCAGGGTCACCCATAGGGGGGTCGAGCCCCCCAGTCCAGGCCACGTTGACGTTAAATCCCTCACCAGGGCCAGCACCAACCTGGGAGAGAGCAAGGACAGCAGTGAAGCTCTGGATGAGGCCTGCAGGGATGCTGGGTGATGCAGGGATGCTGGGGCAGCCAACCGGGTGAACCAGGCAGGACGAGGCATCAATGGGAAAGGCAGTGCCACAGAACTGCCCTCTGCTCTGGCCCATCAGTGCCCTGCCCTCCTGGTTGCCACCTTGGCCACCGGTGCTCTGTACCTCATCAGCAGCCCCGCTACCGGGGAAGAAGTTGCCGTCATCGTGACGATGCAAAGAGATGTAGAGAACGTCGGGGTCCCTGTAGAAGATCTGCTGGGTCCCGTTGCCGTGGTGAACATCCTGGAGGGAGAAAAAGGTTGGCAGAAGCTCTCCTTTTCAGCCTTGAGGGTGGCCCAAGAGCTTAAGAGAGCTAAAAGCAACCGGATCTCTGGCTGGGACCCCCATCCCCAGGATCTGCTCCTGGTTCCCAGCCACACTCCCGACAGGAGGAGGTTTTGATGCTCTCATTGTCCAGCTCCAAACCAGAGCTGGGAGGAGATGCAGGCACCTCTTGTTAGGGATGTCCCAGGGAGGAGCAGGGCCACGCAGGGCCACTCACCCAGTCCACAATGAGGATCTTGCTGAGCTTCCCTTTCTGCTGCAGCTGCCTCGCAGCAATGGCCACTGAGTTGAAGAAGCAGAATCCCCTGGGAAGAGGGAGTCGGAGCTGGTTAATGCCTCCTGAGCACCCTTCCCTCCTGGCCCCCCCAAAGGATGGGCTCACTCCCCACTCTCCCTCTGGCCAGGAGATGGATGGGGCTCAGTCTGGAGTGACTTCGAGCCAAGGAGCTGGTTTTGGGGGGCTTCCCTGCAGCTTGGGAAGGGGCCCTTACATGGCAGTGGAAGGATCCGCGTGATGTCCTGGTGGCCTCACCACAGCAAAGCCATTCTGGGGACAAAACAAAGGCAAGGTGCTCAGAGCTGCTGCTCCCAGTGGCACACACACCCCCTCCAGGAGGCTGGTCCATCCAGGGATGGAGCCCACAGCAGCACAGGGCTATGAGCACCTGGCCAGGGGGTGATGGCACAGCCCTGGGACCTCCACGTGAAGTCAACCCTACCTTCAGCTCCCTGGTGGCCACCTTGAAGGCCAGCTCGGTGACACTGCCTGCAGCCCAGCGGGCAGCGTTGGAGGAATGCAGCTCGTTCCAGATGGTGTCACTGTCCACCTAGAAGCAAGAGCAGCAGTGAGACGGGGTGGAGAGGAGCTCAGCACAGGACCAAGGTCTCTGCCAGCTGCCCTGCTTGGGGCCAGGGGTTGAAGCTCTGTATAAGCTGGAGGGGATGGTGGAGCTGGACCACCTCAAACGCCATGGGGCAAGCTCCAGGCTGACAGCTCCTCTGCCCGCTGGCAGCCCCAGCTCAGCTCCACACAGAGCATCTCCCCCTGCACCCGGGGGCTGGAGGAAGTGACTGAGAAAACGCTCTTTACCTTCTTTATCTTATTGTATTGTTTAAGCAAACATGTTGGTTTGATCAGCATCACGTCAAGGGCTGAGCCAGAGCCGGAAAACCCAATGTCTCTTCTGATCAACGCCATGTGTGCAACTCAAAGGCTCCCCAATGCCCATGGAGAGGGGCAGCTCCAGCCCCCCCCCCCGCCTTCGGGGCACAGAGGGGAGCAGGGAGGGGGAGGCAGAGCAGGGAAAGTAGATGCAAACGGGGCTGAGAAGAGCTGGTGCCCAGCAGCGGGGGCAAGGAGAGGAGGAGAACCAGAAGAGGCAGCAGGAAGGCATGGAGTGAGACCCTTCCTGAAAGAGAGAGAAGGACAGAGACAGAGAGAGGAAGAGAGGAGAACGCAGTGAATGGAGAGAAACCAGGACGGCAAGCTGTGAAAGGAGAGGCCACAGAGGTGTCTGGAGAGAAGTGGGGAGCTGCTGTCCCCCACGACACTGCTCCCCTTCCTCAATGGAGACCATGGCTTGTGGCTTCCCCCAGCCACTCCCACCAGCTCCATCCCTTCTGGCACCCTAGGCTCTCCGAAGCGGCTGTGATGGGCTGTGGCCTCCAGAGTAAGGAGCCATTAAAAGCTCCCCCGGCAGGGCTGGGATGCTTAGCACCATCCCAAGGACACAGGAGCACAGGTCCCACTTAAGGCTGCCCAAATGGCTTTGGGAGCTCCCCCTCCCCTCCAACCCTCCCTGGGGACAGCAGCGCCCCATCCCACCCCAGGCAGCTCGGAGACGGCGCACTTACCCCAACCCCTCCGCAGGGCAGCATGACAAACATCCGCTGGGACAGGATCCCTGCCGAGAGAGGGCACAGCGAGCACTGAGAGCTGGGAACGCCGCGGGACAGCCAGGTTGCACCTGCCTGCCAGCAGGGTGAGGAGCAGCGGCCAGGGAAGCTGCCTGCTGCACCCGGAGGGCAGGAGGCTGAGGGCTGGGGCTGGGCACTCACCGGCCAGCTTCCCGTTGTCCAGCTTGAGGCGGTTGAGGGGGTTGGTGCCGTAGAGGAAGACGTGGCGCTCGCTGTGGACGCACTGCAGCTCCTCCAGCGTGGCCTTGCGGCCCCGCAGGCACTGCGGCACACGGGGGGCTGTGACCAGGCTGCTCCGAGGGGGAGATGCCGGCTCTCCCACCCCAGCTCCGAGGGACAGCCCAGCTACAGCAGGGTGAGGTTTCCCAACACGGTGGAACCCACGCTGATGCTCCAAAACCCCCTTTCCATAGGGATCAGCCCTCTCCCTACACCCAGCTTCCAGCAGAGCACAAGGCTGCTGCCAGCCAAAGAGTTCATCAGGGACTGGAGCGATGGGACAAGGGGTGATGGGGTCAGACTGAAACGGGGGAGATTTAGGTTGGAGATAAGGGAGAAGCTCTGCCCTGTGAGGGTGCTGAGGCGCTGGCACAGGGTGCCCAGAGAAGCTGGGGCTGCCCCATCCCTGGCAGTGTTCAAGGCCAGGTTGGACACAGGGGCTTGGAGCAAGCTGCTCCAGTGGAAGGGGTCCCTGCTCATGGCAGGGGGTTGGAACCGGATGATCTTCAGGTTCTTTCCAACCCAAACCACTCTATGGTTCTATGGTCACACCAACATGCTCCAATTTGGCACTGCCAGCGATGGGTGAGCCCAAGCCCTCTGGATAACGGTGGTGAACAAGCTGAGAAGATGTGGGAGCGCAAGGGGTGGAGGTGGGAGCAGGATACCCCATCACCCCAATAACATGAGAGCTCACACCAGCACCCCCAGCCCAGATGGGCTCCAGCTCCCACCCTGCTGCTGGCGCTCACCTCGCACTGGCTGCGCAGGCCCCTCTCCTGCAGACGGGACCAGATGCTCTGGATCCTGCCCGCGTGCTCGGGGTGGTTGCTGTTGTCTCCACAGGAACACTGGTGTTTGAGCATCACCGAGTCATAAACCAGCCCTGCAAGGCACAAGGAGAGCTGTTGTCACCACACTGGACCGGCCTCGGTGGTGCAGACCCCAAAATCAGCTCCTTTTAGGGGCTGGATGAGACCCAAAACTGTTTGGTTTGACTGGAGCCTCCCTCAAACCATGGGAGCCTCTGTCCCAACATGCTTGAAGCAAATCCTGCTCGGGATGTGTAAGAGAGCTGACCCTTGCCAGGATCACTGGACCAGGACAGCAGTCAAGGGGCCAGATGGGCAAATCCTGCTTGGAAAAGCCACCTTAGATAAGGAGAAGGGGACCTTTGTGGCTTCTCTGCTCTTTGTGCAGCCAGGCAGAGCATCGCAAGCATTTATGAGTGGGATTGAGCAGGACTGATGCTCAGCTGCCCCTGAGCATCCCCACTTCCCTCCCAGCTCCTCCCCAGCCCCTGCTGCGGCGGTGAGAGCCCCACACAGGGGCTGCTGGTACCTGTTGTGAAGTGGGGCTTGGGGGGCTGCTCCTGCACGGGCAGGGACAGCGCCTTGGAGGCCGTGTCCTGGGCAGGAAGGGAGATGGTGGCGGTGGCAGGAGATGACTGGGCCCTGGAGAGGGGTCTGTGCCCCGTGTGGATGGTGGGGACCATGGGGGTGTCAGCCGAGGGCTGGCGCTTGAGGAGCTGCTGCTGCACACGCTGGTAGGAATCCCACAGATAGGCCTGCTGGAGAGAGGGGTCGGTGAGCATCTAGAGCAAGGCACAACCGGAGAGCAGCATCACTTGGCATGGAAAAGGGAGCCCTGCGCTGTGCACCCTCCCTGGGCCTGGATACAACCATGCTGGGGGGGGGGCTTGGAGAGGGGCCGCAGGAGCTGGGACACATCCTGCAGCATCTGGAGCTCCCGTGGCCGGGAGTTGGGACTGGGTGAGCTTTAAGCTCCCTTCCAACCCAATCCATTCTATGATCTGCTGCTCTCTGCTGGAGGGCTGCCCTGCTGCAAGGCGCAGCAATGGGATGATGCTCAGCCTTGCGGGGGGTGACTGCACCTCCCATCCCTGTCGTACCGGGGCTCAGGGAAGGTACAGCTGGGCTGCCCGTGGCCTTACTCACACAGCAGCCCTTTCTGGAGGTGGCTCTCAGGGTCTGAGCTGCCTGCAGCTCCCTCACCCCTGCCAGCCCTTGGGTACCTGCTGGAGGACGAGCTCCTCTTGAGGCTGCATCATCTTCTGTGTCCTCTCAGGCTCCTTCCCACTGCTCCCGGGCCGTGGTGGCTCCACACGTGTCCTTGCTGGGTCACTGCTCTCAGCCTCTGGCAGCGTCCCCTCGGCCTCCATGTCCTCCGAGGAGGGGATCTGCCGCAGCCGGGGCTTCTCGCTGGATTTAGCCATGCGCTGCAGCACAGGGTCACAGTGAGCTCGGGGACGTGGCAGGGGACAGCCCAGGCCGGGAAGGTCATAGAGAGGGGGGAAAGGACACAGGGGAGGAGCACGGTGAATGTGGGAAGCAAGGATGCTGAGCAGGTACCCTCAGTTTGCTGCCATGAGGCTGCGCAAGGCAGCATCTCGCATGCGAGATGCGTTTCAGAGCAGCCTGAGGAGAAGCACTTGGGGGGTGATGGGTGAGGAGAAGCTCCCCATTGACTCAGCTGCAGCCCAGACCCCCCCCCCCCCCCATGTGCTGGGCTGCACCCCCACAGCGTGAGCAGCAGCTCGGGGAGGGGATTCTCTCCCCACTTGCAGCACTGTGTGCAGGGCTGGTGTCCTCAATATAAGGACATGGAGCTGCTGGAGCAAGGCCAGAGGAGACCACGAGGATGCTCAGGGGCTGGAGCAGCTGCCCTATGGAGCCAGGCTGAGAACATTGGGGCTGGAGGAGAGAAGCTGCGTGGAGACCTCAGAGCAGCTTCCAGTGTCTGAAGGGGGCTACAAGGATGCTGGAGAGGGACCTGCATCAGGGACTGGAGCGATGGGACAAGGGGTGATGGGGTCAGACTGAAACAGGGGAGATTTAGGTTGGAGATAAGGCAGAAAAGCTCTTCCCTGTGAGGGTGCTGAGGCACTGGCACAGGGTGCCCAGAGAAGCTGTGGCTGCCCCATCCCTGGCAGTGCTCAAGGCCAGGTTGGACACAGGGGCTTGGAGCAAGCTGCTCTAGGGGAAGGGGTCCCTGCCTGTGGCAGGGGTTGGAATTGGAGGAGCTTCAAGGTCTTTTCCAACCCAAACCATTCCATGGTTCTATGCTTGGCTAGGGCTTGGCCCTGGACATCTCCTGCTCACTGCCCAGCAGGTAGCGATGGTGTCCTGCACCCTTCTAGCATCAATCCCATTGCCTCCTACAAGCCCAAGCTGACCCTCCAGGACTCACCTTGCCCAGATGCGTCTGCTGCTTGAGCCTCTCCAGGAAGTGGGTGTGATGCTGCTGGTACACCAGCTGCTGCTGGATGGCCTTGGGGTTCTGGGGCAGGGGCTCCGAGCGGGTCCTGCCCAGTGGTTTATGGTGGCCTGGGAGCGACAGGCGCTCTGCAGAGATGAGCGAGGGGGTGAAGGAGAAGGGGACGGTCCCCAGGCCTGGCACTGGAGGGGAGAGGAAGGAGAGGTGAGGGTGGCACCCTGCAGAGCTGTCTGCACACCACGGCAAGCAGCAGCACGGTCTGGACCCATGTAGACTATCTCTAGACAGCCCTAAAGATGATGGTGACCCAGCCCTGGAGCCCAGGGTCCGGTAGGCATGGGCTGTGCCTTCATGGTTCACCTCCTTCTGTCCCCATTGCTTTGGCAGCAGGGGTCTGGGGACAGGACCTGGCTGATCTCAGTCAGCTTCACCCTCAATGGGAGAAGCTTCCTTCACTGGTGGTATCACAGAACAGGGAGAGATGGAGCCAGGAATGAGCACAAAGGAGCCAATTCTCTTTCTGCTACAGTCAGAGTGGAGCCACAGCCAAGAGGTCAGAGCTGCCGTGCTCAAGGCAGGGTCTCTACTGAAATCTATTGGCACAAGAGCATAGGAAGAGGTGAGAAAGACCCCTTGGAGGGGATGAACAGGTCCACGCCAGCCCAGGCAGGGCGAGGGGCAGCTGGAGGGAAGAGCCAAAGCTGTAGCTCCCTGCATTGTCAAGGCCATGGCGTGTGCAGGACTCTGGTTTCATCCACGGCAAGGACACGCTGCTGGTGAGGCAGAACCGGGCCAACACCTTCCATTCCCTCAGCCCCATCTCAAGGCACAGTAATGGAAAGATCAAGGCCAGTGGGCATTTCCCAGCACCACAACCCCCTGCCTGCCCTCAGGGTCACTGCCAGCACCGCCACAGCCTCAGCGCCTGTCACTTACCTGCCACCAGTGGAGTGTGGGTGACCGAGGGCTCGAGGATGATGACGGGCTGGAGCCGAGAGGACAAGGGGCTCCCAGCTTCGTGCTGCTCCAAACCAGCTGGGATGAACACGGGCGAGTGTGTGCCCGCCAGGACAGGTCCATTCAACACGGGCACCCGGTGGGCCAGGCTGGAGAGGGGCCGGCGATCTGCCTCTCCCTGCACAGAGGAGGAGGATGGGGTCAGCATCCCGCAGGACACGGCGTGAGGAGGGGACAGCACATCCTCACCGTGCCCAAGGTGTTCGGGAATACTCAGAGCTAGCACACCCCAGCAACCCCAGGCCCAAAGGCATGGGCTTCCCCTGCCCCATAGGCACCCTCTGCCCAGTTCTGAGGCCACCTACAAGCTGGCTACCTACCCTGGCACTAGTGGTGGCCGGCAACCCCAGCGTGATGGCCGGAAGGGAGGCTGCGCTCTGCAGGGCAAACTGGGCCAGTGAGCTCTCCTGCATCATCAGGCGCTGGGCCAGGGGTGTCTGCACCAAACACAAGGCATTAGTGTCCTGCTCCAACGTGGAACAAGCAGCTTGAGCACGGGCAGCAGCAAAAAGGGCTGAGCCCCGTTTGCCTGGGGGAGTGCTATTAAACCACAGCAAAACTGAGCCCCTTTGAAGGACCTGATGCCTGCTCGTAGAAGCAACCAGGTTGGGAAAGCCCTTTAAGCTCCTCAAGTCCAACCATTCCCAGCACTGTCAAGGCCACCACTAACCCATGGCACTGAGGGCTACACAGTGTGTGAGCACTTGCAGGGACAGTGACTGCAGCCCTGCCCTGGGCAGCCTGTTCCAATGCCTGAGCACCCTCTGGGGAAGGAATTGTTCCTCAGCTCCATCTAAACCTGCCCTGGTGCAGCCTGAGGCCGGTTCCTCTTGTCCCATCCCTTGCTCCTTGGGAGCAGAGCCCAGCCCCTCCTGGCTCCATCCTCCTGTCAGGCACTTGTAGGGAGCCACCAGGTCCCCCCTGAGCCTTCTCTTCTCCATCTGAACCCCTCAGGTCCCTCCTGAGCCTTCTCCATCTGAACCCCTCAGGTCCCTCAGCTGTTCCCCATCACCCTTGTGCTCCAGGCCCTGCACCAGCCCCATTGCCCTTCTCTGGCCCCACTCCAGCACCTCAAAGTCCCTCTTGGAGCGAGGGGTCCAGAGCTGAACACAGGATTCGAGGTGCAGCCCCACCAGTGCCCAGTGTGGGGGCACAATCCCTGCCCTGGCCCTGCTGCCGCACTGGTGCTGAGCCAGGCCAGGATGCTGGGGGCTTCCTGGCTGCCTGGGCACAAGCTGCTCATGTTCACCTCCGTCAGCCAGCAGAGAAACAAGTAACAACCCTTCCAGAGGTTGGGAAGCCCCAGCCTGTGGCCCTTTGGCTGCTGGAACTCACCTCGTGGGCCATGCTGGAGGCAGCGGGGAGGGCTCCGTGCTCGGCGGGGAGGCTGTCGTTGGGAGAGCTGCAACCGGACACGGGGGTGCTGCTACTGCTCGGGGAGGAGTCTGCAGGGAAGAGCAACAGGGGTGATGGGGAAAGCACCCAGAGCAGGGCTGCACAGCCCCTGCCCCAGCCCTTCATCGCCCTCCCTTCCGCTAACAGCTGCCACCACCCTCCTTGGGTGACATCTCCCTTGGGCACATGGAAGCTCCAAAGCACAACGAGGAATCCTGACCAGCCGTATTTGCTCAAGACCTTTAGACCCTTCCAGTCTGGAAGTTCATCCTGGGCTTGAAAAGCAGCAGGGTTCAGTGGCAGGAATGTCCTTTCCTGGCTCATCTGTCCCTGCACCACTATAGAATCATGGAATGGTCTGGGTTGGAAGAGACCTTAAAGCTCATACAGTTTGAACCAGGGACAATGTCCACCAGAGCAGCTTGCTCCAAGCCCCATCCAACCTGGCTTTGAACACTGCCCCAGCGATGAGGCAGCCACAGCTTCTCCCTCATCTCCAACCTGAACTTCCCCTGTTCCAGTCTGAACCCATCACCCCTTGTCCCATCGCTCCAGTCCCTGATGCAGGTCCCTCTCCAGCATCCTTGTAGCCCCCTTCAGACACTGGAAGCTGCTCTGAGCTCTCCACGCAGCTCCTCTGCTCCAGACTGGCTCCATACGGGAGCTGCTCCAGCCCCTGCTCATCCTCCCTTAGCATCCTCCAGAGAGCTCCCTCCACGTGCCCTGGCATCGATAACACACCAAGCCCCGGCCACGCAGCCCCCGAGCAGATGTGACCCAGGATCCTGGGCACACCACAGCTGCTCCAGCCTGGCCCCAAGGGGTCTCCAAACCCTGCTGAGGGATCACATCCAGATGCAGGCCTCACCGATGGCCTCGGGTGGCCGCCTCTTGAGCGACGGGGGAGCGCTCTCCTTCCGCGTCAGGGGGTTCTTGCGTCTGTCAAGGCACTTCCTGGGCTTGCACCGCACCTTCAGGTTGGGCTCAGATGCTGTGAGCACACAAGGAGGTTGGTCCCAGCCCCACTGCTGATGGGGACACAGCTAGGGTGGCTTTGTGGGGCCAGGACATCCTGGGTCTTAGCTCCAGGCAGCCCCTGCAAGCAGGCTGCGAGGGAGATGCTGTTACCACCAAGGTCTTACCTGTCTTCCGCAGTGGGAAATGCTCGGGGGGGTCGAGGGAAGTGCTGGGAACAGGGGGCAGGAAGGTGCTGAGCACAGGAGGGGACGGGCCCTCAGGATCCAGAGGCTCCAGAGACCTACAGGGAGAAGTCACCTTGTTAGAGACCTTTCCCGGCTGGCAGCCGCATGCTTCCCGTGCTATGGTCTCCAATGCAAGGATGGCCCATGGGACATTGCCCTTCCCAGGCATGTGCCAGTGGACACAAAGGCTTGACCTGTCCACTACCACAAGCACCTATAGAAGGGCTCCAGCTGCTGGTTTTGCCTTGTCTTGGGACAAAAGCTTTACCTGTAAGGCATGGCTGAAGGGTTGGGGTTGCTGGTCCTCTCCAAAGCTGCCTGCTGCTTCTTCAGGATGACCTCAGCCAGCTTCTGCTTCACCACTGTGCTGGCCACGGCACCTGCAGAAGCACCAGCAGTGAGCACACAGGGCTGAGAGCCAACACAGAGCACTTTAAAGGATCCCATGCAGTTTGAGGCTCCTGAACCTCTTGATGGCCTCTTCCAGAAGAGCATGAGCTTGACCACAACCCACTGTCAAATAGCAGTGACCCACGTTCAACACCCAGCTCCACCCCAGGCAGAACTCTGGCTGCTGCAGGGTGCTGCAATCACCAGCATCCATGGGGGTTCCCACCTCAGATAGAACTCATTTGCATGCTCCTACCCATGCGAGGCTATAGCCCCATCTGAATGATCCAGCAGGGATGCTCTGGGGTTACAAGAGGGATGCTCCACACTTCTGTGCCAGCATTTAGCACCTCTGAGCCCAGGTAAATTGATTTATAGAATGCCAGCCTGGTTTGGGTTGGAAGGGACCTTAAAGCTCATCCAGCTCCAACCCCTGCCACAGGCAGGGACCCCTTCAGCTAGAGCAGCTTGCTCCAAGCCCCTGTGTCCAACCTGCAAGGGATGAACTCTCAGTCTCCATCAAGGGGCTGTGTGCAGCATTCCCAGGAGAGGCATGGAAAGGGCAGGCACCATGTTATCAGCATCACACCGAGCCCCATCAACCCTTCAAACCCCGACAGAGGAGCGAGGTGGGAGCGAAGGGGAAACAGCAGCAGCCTAATGGAGCTCAGGAGGTGCACATGGACACTGGGATGGGTGCAGTGCATCTGAGGGATGCTGCAGCTGCACACCCCACAGCTCAGAGGGACCAGCACTAGATGGCGCAGGGAGACCGCAGCAGGACGCATTCTGCCCACCAGCCTCTCCCCTCTGCTACTGGTGCTCCAGACTGGGGCTTGCAAGGTCAAGCGGCCACTTCACACCCTGCTCAGGGCAGCCACAAGCACCATCAGCTGGGGGAGCATCGCTGCAGTGGCTAACACAACGTTAGCCCGGAGCTGTGACCCCCCCAGGCTGGCATTGCCAGGAGGGATATGAAGGACAAGCACCAGCCAGGCCACAGCCCCCAAACCCTCTTGCCAACTGCTAAGGGCAGCTTGCTGGTATCACCGCTTGCTGCTCAGGGCAGGACTTCCCTATGGACACTGTGTTGTCCTCTCGGCCCCAGGCAGGCACAGAGCAGGGCTCAGTCTGATGCACAGGACTGAGATGCTCCATGACACGAGTGCTATCACACACCTTTAGACCAAGAGAGGGCAGAACCATCTGCTGATCCCCCTCCTAAGAGCCCCTCTGTGAGCTGATCTCCCTGGGTTAGGGGACACGGCTCCTCAGGCAGGGATGTGGTCCCCGCTGCCACGTGCCAACACACGCAGGGGGGCTCTTACTTCTCTTGCTCTTGTCCTTGTTGAGGATCTGCCGCAGCTCCTGCTCCTGCTGCCCAGGCTCAGCTTCACGGTGTGGGGACTCCATGGTCACCTGCGAGAGGAGAGCAACATCAGCCCAGTGCAGACCAAAGGCTTCTGGCCCTTTCCCCAAGCCCAAGGCACGACGACACGGTGATGGAGCCCATCTGAACCGCTCAGTTAGGTCAGTCTGGGGAACCTGGTGGGCAGAGCATGGTCAAGCTGATTCACCACAGCAAACAGATGCAGCTTTGTCACCAGAGATGCTCTCCCCAGGGACATGGTAGAACTCAAACCAGTCTGGTTCAACTTGCTGGTGTTTTGGCTTATCTGTAGCTAGGGCATGTTGTGATATAAGGAGAAAGGAAAGCTATAGTTGACTAAAAAGGAGGGAAAACCCCTGAAAAAGCTATTAAACACATCTCAGAAGCTTGGCTCTTGGTGCTTTCCAGAGCTGAGGTTTTCCAGGATGATTCCATAGGGAGGTCAGAAAGCACAAACGCCTCCAAGCACCCAACAGTCGTGGCAGCAGCAGCATCTCAAACTCTCTGTGTGTGGACCATGCTGGTGCCCAGGCTCAGCATGATTCCCCCAGGGCTTCCAGACACGGTTACTGGGACCAGTGAGCCCACGCCATGCACTGACAGGGATGTGAGAGAAGCAGATGAGGCTTTAGTCCAGAGAAGGGGGGGGTACAACTGCATCTTCCATCACCCAAAGGGGGTTACAGAGCGGATGGAACCTGGGTCCCCCGAGGGGCACAGCAAAAGGATGAGCCACAACAGGCCAGACCGTGAAGGAAATCCCACCTGGATATATGGAACTGATTCCTGCCATGAGCACCGGGACAGGCAGGGCAGGGGGGGGATCTCTGTGCTTGCCCAGACGTGGCCTCCACAACCTGCCCTACCTCTGAAGCTTGGGTCTCCAGGGGACCCCGCCAAGCTAACCCCTGCTGTCAGGCTGCGACAGTGCAGAGCCTGGCAGCAGGACGGGGCTGTGATCCCGGCTGACACCGTGGAATTCCAGTGCAGACTTCCCAGCAGAGCAGCACAGGAGCTGCCTCTGGGGCAGGGAGCCAGCGGTGGCCAAGCGCAGGGGCACATCCCAGCCACCCAGCATCCTGTCCAGCCGCTCTGGCTCCTGCCTCAGCGCACGTGGTTGGCGGCGGCTGAGAGCATTGCCCTGCTCCACACATCCCAGGAGGCCCCAGCCTTTGGCAGGACAGGGATTTGGCCCCGAAAGGAAGACGTGAAACCCACCCCACCTGACTCCTAAAGCAGCCTCCTTGCGTCAGAGAGGTCTCCGGGCTGGCTCTAAAGCACTGCGGCCTCTCCAGCTCAGGGGAGAAGCAGGAATTCACCTGGGAAGGTTATTTTGGGGTAGGGTTTTCCAGCTTCTTCCTCTTCATCCCTGGCAGAGCTTGGCCCAAGCCAGCCCCAGTGCAGGGCACTGCTGGCAGGCACACACAGCACCATGAGCTACGTGCTTGAGAAGGGAGGGGGGTGCCAAACCCTCACCCAGCCACTACCCCCTCGCACCCTGGGGTGCTCATACCCTGACGTGCTGGTGGGCGAGCTGCTCCACTTGCTGCTGGTGCAGGCTGGCGAGGAAGAGCTGGTGCTGGAGCTGCTGCGTGTGCTTGAGGGCCAGCAAAGTGGTGTCAGAGCCAGGCTTGACGACGCGCTGCCCGATGCGCAGGTCCATGGGGACGCTCTGGGGCACCCGTGGGGAGGTGCACGGGGTCACAGCAGCTGTGGAGACACAAGGAGAGGAGCAGCTCAGGCCCTGGCCTGCTCAATGCCTGCAGGAAGCACCACGATAGGGCTCGGCTCTATCCCGATGTATTGCCATCGGGAAGGGTTTGCCCACACACCACCTGCAGGCTGCAAGAGCCTCCTGGGCAAGCAATCCTGCCAGCGATAGAAGGTGCTGGAGGGCATCTCTCCTGACACCTCGGCTGAAAAATGCTTTGCCTGTGGCATCCCACAGCCCAAACGCAGCCATGGGCACTGCAGCACAGGGTGGGGGGGAAGCTGGAAGCAGGCAGGAATTCAGCATTAAAGGACACTGCAAGGGGGATGCTCTTGGATGCAGGAGCAGGGCCACTGCAGCTCAAGAGCTGGTTGCGTTCCAAAAGCAGTTTAGCACACCTTGTGCTGTTCAAATCCCAACCTCAACAGCCTCAGGAGAAACCTCTGCAGGTTCCTACCCCGTAATACAGCATCTGCACAGGGGGAAACCCAGCAAACTCCTACCCTGGCCCATGCCAAGGTGCATGGGGAAGGAGAATGAGTGTATTCATCCAAGGAAGGCACCAGGACTATAAATAACCACATCCTGTGCAGCCCAGGCAGGAAAATCCCCTCTGGTCGAGGGCAAGCACTTCTCTGACCAGCTCAACATCCCCAACCTCAGCCCAGGCCAGAAAAGGAGGTGGTGTTCCCAGGAAACGCCAGCATAGGCTTGATTCCATTCCCTGCATCACCGATAACTTACCCCTAATGGGCTCTGATCGCTACTCACTGCCTGCCCCATGTATCCAGCATGATGTGGAGCTCGAGGGCCATTAACAACCAGAGCCTCAAACCCAGGAGCTCCTCTGCTCCGTTATCACCAAGGCTTCATGGGTGGACACAGTGCGATGCCACGAGAAGGGCAGGATGAGCCCCACCACTCCCTTTGGGGGTCAGGTACAGCACAAGCACATTTAAACTGCAACTTCATGAGCAAACAAGAGCCCAGGTGAAGTTACCCCATGCAGGAAGATCCTGACCTTCTCTCAGCCCTTTGTCTCACCTACCACGTGGCCCATAGCCCCAGCAGGAAGCCAAGCAGGGCTCCCCAAAAGGAGGAGCATCCCAACACGTCTCCTCGCAGCAGGGTGCCAGCACCAGCACCCTGGGAGGCCGTCACCTGCGTGCTGCTCCACGAAGCTCCCAGCCAAAGGGCCTCCCAGCTTGCAGAACATCAGCGATGTTGAAGGATGCAAGCGATGAGCTGGGCTGTCACCTCCTGCTTCCCAGCTCATGTGTGTTCCCACCTCCCAGGGAGGAGGAGGAGGATGCCGGAGGGATGGGTGCTGCTGGAGCCCCTCAGGGATGCAGGCTGACGAGGCAGGAGCAGGGCATGTGCAGTGCTACCCGATGTGCCGGGCTGCTGGCAGCCAGACAAGGACAGAGTGTAACAGGGATGGGAAACAGGGAATTCTGACAGCTCCCAGCCCAGCCAAATCCCTGCCACGTGATGCTGTCTATCTGCAGGAACTTGCAGAAGCTCAGCCATCCCTCAGTCCCCCCCAGCCAAATGTCACTGTCCTGCTGGATCCGACAAAGGGGGCAGGAGCTGGGAACTGCTGCCGGGGGTTCATCGGCGTCAGGCTCAGCTTGGAGACACGGAAAGGGCTGCTTAGGTGAAGGATCATTGTGCCGAGGGGAAAGTGGGGGCATGGGGAGGAAGGGACCAGCCACATCCTCAGAGCTGATGGCATCCAGAGAACGCTTGTCACAACCTTTCTCTGCTTGGGATGCTAAAGATACCCATGGGGAGCTCCCACAAGGCAAAGCTCAGCAGCAGCAGCAGCCTTATCCTCACCTCCCCATGGGCAGCATCCTCAGGCTCAGCACCTCCAGGGGATAAAAAGGGGCAGGAAGGTCTCGGAGGCAAAGGAGAGGCTACAACAGGAACCTCCAAGGGCACGGAGAGTGGCAGAGCTGATGGGGAACGCACGGGTGGGAATCTCTCTACCTCATCTGCTTTAAATCCAAGCTCCGAAGCAGGGAAGAGGAGAAGTGGGAGGGAACGTGTGTGCTGGGAGGGACAGGGACAGGGAGGCCGGGCAGGCCAGCGGCCAGCAGCCAGCAAAACAACTCCTCAGCACTCAGCCCAAGCCAGGAAAAAGGCTGTCGAGCATCCCCAGGGCCAAGAGGCACCGGAGCCAGGGACCAGGCTGCGTGGACCCTCCTCCTGGCACAGGAAGCACCGGCCCTGCTCGGATGGCGACACTGGAGCATCATTTTCAGGTGGGAAAGAGGAAGGATGAGATGGGAAAACAGGGATTGTAGGAGCACAGACTGGCCTCAAGCACCTCAGGGCGACAGGGGTGTCCCAACCCCTGGGCAGGAGCCTCGGCCGCCATCCCCATGCTGGTACCCTGTGGTACCTTGCGCATGGCAGCTCCCCAGGGATGCTCCGCATCCCTGCTGCTCCAGGCTGGGCTCCAGCAGGCTCTGGACCCCTCAGCAAAGGCCTTCCTGTGCTGGGAGCTGTTTGTTGCAGCCATGACCTCCTGCTGCAGCTTGAATCCATTTGGGGTTTCATGCCGGGACCTGCGCCAAGCAGTACAGTAAACAACTCCCCTCGGCTGCTCACACATGATTCAGGGGGCAGGCAGCCAGGCCAGCAGCTCCTCCTCTTCCCCTCACCCGAAGAAGGCCAAAAGCACGGCCCCATGGTAGCTCCTGGGGGGGGTCTGCCCCATTCCCCAACCACCCCAGCTCCTGCTGGTCCCTAATAGACCCTTGCAAGCCACCACGTGGCCCACATGGGCTGAGGTTGGGATGCTCCACTGGCCCCATGCATCACCAGGGGGCTGAATCCATCCTCCTCCTCCTCCTCCTCACCTGCATGGTCCAGGAGCAGGGCTGAGGGATGGAGCAGGGGGAAGCAAACCGGGAGCAGCCACCCAGGGAAGAGGTGGAAGGATTCTGGCCCTGCCAGCATCTCTTGAGGGTTATTTTTAGGCCCCAGGAACATTCGCATGGGAAGGCTGGAGCTGGTGGCAGAGCCGGCCTCACACGAGCGCTGCGGCTGGCAGAGGCTCGGCAGCCACCACATCACCAGCAGCTCGAGCAGGGCAAACAGCTTTGCACATGAGCCCATGAAACCAGAGCAAAACTCAGCCCCTTTCAGACCTGGTGCCTTCTCATCACTGAATCACAGCCCTTTCAGCTCATCCAGGCCAACCGTTCCGAGGCCACCACTGACCCATGGCACTGAGGGCTACCCAGTGTGTGAGCACTTGCAGGGATGGTGGCTCCAGGACTGTCCTTCGCAGCCTGTTCCAATGCCTGAGCACCCTTTGGGGCAGGAATTGTTCCTCAGCTCCATCTAAACCTGCCCTGGTGCAGCTTGAGGCCGTTTCCGCTTGGGAGCAGAGCTCAGTCCCCTCCTGGCTCCATCCTGCTGTCAGGCACTTGTAGGGAGCCATCAGGTCTCCCCTTGAGCCTGCTCTTTTCCACACTAAACCCTCCCAGGTCCCTCAGCCATTCCTCATTGTGCTCCAGGCCCTGCACCAGCTCCGTTGCCCTGATGGAACACGGAAGCACCATGGAAGCGAGCACCATTGCACAAACCCGGGCAGGTAGAAGCAGCGGCAGCTCCACCCTTCCTCCATGGGAAGGGGGAGATTGCAACACAAGGAGAGCAGCTTCCGAGCAGCTTCCGAGGAGCAGAGGCTCTCGCCGTGCCTGGGAAAGCCTTGGGCAGTGGGATGAGCATGAATGCAAGCTCTGTGCTCAGCACCCAGCACGGGTTACCAGCATTTTCCAGGCCGTCGGCAGGATGCGGCGCAGGGAAAGCAGCCGAAGGGCTCCAAGCTGGGAAGGTGGGAAGGACATGGGGAAACTGCGGCCAAGGGATGGGATCCCCACTCTGCAAACAGCAAGGAGCCTCTCGGGCTCCTCTTAAGCTTTTGGCTGGGGTGAAACCTGGTGGCAGCATTGCCCGGGCTGGTGGTGCTAAATCACTGCTCCCGCTGCTGCTCTCGGGCACAGATCCCCCTAAAAAGCAGCCCAGAAATCGGTGCTTCGGCATGCCCTGCTGCATTTTAAGAGGCAAAAGGAGCCGTCAGCAAAGAGCTGCACTTCCTAACGGAGAAATAAAGCACGAAGCAAATAAAGCAGGGCAAGCACGTTATGAAGGAGCAAAGCGGTCGCATCCCAACTACGCCGTTCTGTGCAGCCGTGCCGTGTGCCAGCGCTGCCAACCCAGCCAAGAGCTTTGTCTGAGCCCAAATGGGGTTAAAGGCAGGGGTTTTTCTTCAAAACCATTTCCCATCTTATGCTGATTAGCTGCGAAAGGTTCAGAGTTCAGGCGGGTTGAAGAATGCATGTGATTAAAAACATTCCTCTTTAATAAAAGGAAAAGGCCTTCTGCAGAGCCACGCACAAGGAGCAAGAATTAGCTGGAGGGAATGTGCTCAAATTAAAACCACTTAACGAAGAAACCACACGAAAAGGGCTCTGTTGAAACAACATGAAGATCACAAAGGCAGAACTCGAGAAATAGGAAATCCCGGAGTCAGGGTACCTCGCATAACCTCACCCTGGGGTGCAGGCACCGGGATGCTGGTTTCACCAGGGGCCCAAACTTTAGGCTCCCCTTCGAGAGAAGCACAAAACCAGCATCACCCCAGCACCTCTCCCAGCTACAGCAGGAGCAGGGACACAGGCACTGCTCTATGGGGACAGGAGGGATGCTGCTCCAGACAGAGCATGCCCCTCCGCTCTCCCTATCTCCAGCTGCTCATGGGTCCCTGGGGGGGCTTCCTCCCAGGTCCCTGAGAAACCTGAGGGTTTGGGGCATTTCCTTCCTGCCTCACCTTGCTGCTGAGGAGCCACCCCACCACGTTCCAGGGATGCAGCTCCAGGGATGCAGCTCCAGGGAAAGCCCTGCACCGCTGCAGCGGTTCCCAAGCGGAGCAGTACGCAGTGTCCCGCACGAGCCGTAGCAGAACAGATGCTGCTGAGGGAAG